TAATCAACTCTGTTTTACTAGTGGTTTTTTAAATACCCTTCCATAATATAGCAAATACGTTTCTTGCATTTGTAATTACATATAAAACTGCCTTGTGTTTATCCAGGCTAATAACTATTTTTACTGCATCCAGTAAATTTTGCAATGTTTTGGGTTGGAGGTTTAACTGGGAAAGTGTCCTTAATCAACTTTATCACCAGATTTCAAAAACATTTTGCTTTCTGATTTTTCCATCACCATGCATGAGCAAAGTCTCCCCTTTCCCCCTGACAAATTCAGCATTACCTTCTCCTATATTATATATTTTATGAATTCTCTATGCTGCCATATGCCCCCTTAAAACAGTTTTCCCTGGTTGCAATAGAAAAACAAGATAAATAAATATCATAAACATTCCCATAGCTCTTCAGGAACAGTCATTTCTCAATCTCTATTCCACTTAAGCTTTTTATTTATTCCGCCTATCAGGAACCGGATCCTAGCCTGAACCCTGCTTTGGCAAATGGGGATGCAGGCTGGGGACTTGGGCTGTGTCAGGGGGCGGAGCCAGCAGGGTGGGATAGGCTTCCCTTGGATCCATCCCTTTCCCATTTAAGCAGCCTGCACCTGGGGCACTACCTGTTTGTATGCTTCCTGTACACATAGATGAACCAATTTAAGAGGGCAAGGCAAGCACAGGGCATATCTGCAGATAGACAGACGTACCAGTTCTCTAATTTTCTGGTTCATAGTTGTGCCTATGAAAAGTGAGATGAGATTAGAGCTACTCAGATTTGTCCAATTTGGTTTCTCTCACTTCCTCATTTTTCTGCTCTTCAGTTCTCTCTCTCCATTTCTACATCATTTTGTAAAAACATTTTATTTTCTTTACCGATAAATTTCCATCCATCCAAAGACATGAATTCTTATTTCTTTCTTCAGGATCCAGCTTTCCCCTTGTTTGAAGGAGATGATTTAAAGAAACTTGTTGATGAAATCGCAAAAGCTAGGAGCTATTTAACACAGGCCAAGTTCTTTAAGTGAGTGGCTAACTGTCGGCTTTCGGTAATGGCGAATTTTCTGAAAACTTGAGTCTTTGTTACAATGGCCACTAATTCCCTGCTGATCAAGGAATTCATGCATTGCACGGATAAAGTGGGTAGATAAAAGATTTTCTCCCTCTCTCATAATGCTGGAACATGTGGGTATTCAATGTAGCTGAATATTGGGAGATCCAGGACAGACAAAAGAATATACTTCTTCATAGTTAATGTACTTCTTTCATAATTAAACTATGGAACCTGGGCTCCCTGTTTTTAGTTTACTTCTTTCTATTCTAATTTTGCAAAATGTATTCATCCTTGCTTTTTTATGTGCACCATACTTTTCAGCTTTTCATATTTTGATACTTATATCAAATATAAATCTACTTAGTTGAAATAAATAAATTGTCTCCTATTTCTTTTATTAGATCGCTATTAGAAAAAAAGAACGTAAACCAGAAGGACCGCTGCTCATGAAACAGTTGCCTTCAGGTATAATACTTTTTAAAAAATCCTCTGAAATCATAGAATTGGAGAGTTGGAAGGGACCACGAGGGTCATGTAGTCCAACCCCTTGCTATGCAAGAATATTTTGCCCACTGTGGGGCATGACCCTGAGATTAAAAGTCTCATGCTCTACCAACTGACAAAATGTCTACTGTATATGTGCTTTCCAAATGACATTGCTAAGTACACTCAGGCTTTGGATTAGCAACAATGGCGACTTTACTACAGGTGTGCTCAAGGGGTGTGCTGAGGGTGCTCAGGCACCCGCTAAAGTTTCAAGAAAGTGGATATCAAGGAATGCAGAGAGAAAGAGATGCAGGCAGAATAAAAAGGCCGGAATTGAGGTGCAGCTTCTGACTGGATCTGTCTCGGGGGGGTGATTGGCTCCAGCAATTGCAGTAAGGGAGAAAGAAGGACTCCTTCTCCCTCCTCCTCCACAGATAGAAGCCTTTTTCTGCATCTATCTCTTGTCTCATTGCTCAGTCTCTGTCCAAGCTCCACTTTCCATCTTTTGTGGAAAGAAATCTGTGAGAGTAAGGGGCTGCTTTTGCAGCTTGCAAGCAAGGAGGAAGAGGAGCCACCCTGCCCTCTGCCCTCCAAATCTGCTTGACATAATTATTATTATTATTATTATTATTATTATTATTATTATTATTTGTACCCCGCCCATCTGGCTGGGCTTCCCCAGCCACTCTGGGCAGCTTCCAACAAAGATTAAAAATACATTAAAATGTCACACATCAAAAACTTCGCAGGAAAAATCTTCTGTTTTGACTTCTTGACTACTCTTGTTGTGGTTATTTTGTTAGCATTTTGCCTACTTACCTCTCCCCTGCCCTTATTTGTTTGTCTAGTCATTTGCGCTCCTTCTTTCACTGAAACAAATGTATCAAGGGGCTGTCCACACCTATGGGCCATACCATTAGACAGAGTAAGATGGCTGCCTGGTGTTTTTCTTAAAAAAGCAGGTTTTCTAACTGCACAAATTCCCTATCAGACACCCAACACTAAGAAAATCAAAGGCCGAATTAACTCAAAGGATGCTTTGCTCCTCACTTAGGTCCTGTATCAGGGGGCCATTTCCCCATAGGAGTAATTAGTTCTTCTGGGCTTAAGGAGCTGGGTGTGTAACCATGAATATAGGCAAAACCTCACTCAGGTTTTAGTTGCTTTTTGCACCAGGGTCTTAGGCAGAAAGTTTGCTCCCATCACCTGACCAGTTTTTATTAAGGGATGTTGTTTTTTAACAGGACACGGAGACAGCAAAGGAGGACTTAATGGAACTTTATCAGCTCCATATCTGGGATGGCAAATGCGTCTTCATGAATCCACACATCCTTCAATGAAAACGAGTGCACCTTTCAGCTGGGTTTTCATTCTCATTTGTTTGCTTTTCCTCAAACATTTGTGCCATCCAAAACTGGGGGGGGGGGGCAGTGCGAGTGGCTCCAAAATCCAGCAGACACGTGCCTGATTGATCCCCCCGTTTGATCTAGAAAAATACAGTTAGACACTTGAGTATGATCAGACCACATCTGAACGAGAGTTGCACCGTGTTCTCCAATTGCTTGTTTCAGCAGCAGCTTGCCCAGAGGTCTGTAAAGAATTGAGTGCATTGCAAAAACTTGGGGCTGATCTCAGGAGCCTTTCAAGGAAATGCAATTCAAAGGCTTGCTGCAAACCAGCACCGTCTCTCATAAAGAAGGACGAAACATTGTAGCCTGGGTGCCATATCAAATGGAGATGCTAGCTGTCCTCCTCCTAGGCTCTTAGCCAAGGAGCAAACTGGAATCACAGAACCCATGATTGCTGACACAGATGCCTCATGTGGTTTTAAAACAGAGGTGAACTTTCAGTCATGTGAAATTGGCACTAGAAATGGGACCAAGGCAATGTGACATATGCTGATGGGAACCAGCTGTACTGTTGGCTAACTGCCATGTGAAAAATTTCTTCATATGGGACGTCCCCCTCTCCCCTTCTTTCTCCCTTTATTCCTCTCTTCCAAAGATTAGGAAGGTTTTGCCATTCATCTTTTTAAAAGAACACTACCTCCAGTCCTTGATAAGATGAACCCAGCTAGTTTGTGATTTTGATTAAGTGCTCTGCATTAATAGAAGCCCACATTCTGTCAATATCTTGTAAAGCTGTGGATGGGATCCAATGCTGGCCGGCGTAGTCCCATTAAAATCAATTCAGTTATATAAGTCCACTGATTTGTGTGGGGCTTTTCTGAGTGTGACTTGGTTGGATATCATCTCCTGTTTCTGGTTGAACATATATTTTACCCACATTAGCGTTTTGCAAAGGAGAGGAACAAAGTCTCCATAGTGTCATGAACATACTGGAGTCTCCCAACTCAATAAACCATTGTATTTTTCTGACTGTTGAATGTCTCTGTTGGTCATCCAATTAGGGAAAGGGTGGTGGTTAAAAGGGTGGTGTGTATTAATTTGCATAATGGTAATAATAATAATAATAAATTATTATCTACTCTATATTTTGGGGAACAGTTTGTCTATTTGTTCTCTATGCGTTTCAACACTTCTTAAGAGATCGTTGTCAAATTTGGCACAAGGATTCCTGAGGTGGAAGTGGCAAGTATTGTCAACTTTGGGATGCTGGCTGCCATTTTGAAGCAAGCTGGCGGTTTGAACCGTGACATTGTCATGGCTTCACCTGATACTTGGCGTGACAGATGCAAACTATGCCAATGTAAAACTTTTGTTTAGCTAGCATATTTATTTATCTGCCTATATACATAAAAATGTAAGGTTGTCGTCATGCTAACTCCAGTGTGAAAACAATGTCAGGTGGGTGAGTGAGCAGCTTAGGTGGTAGGCATCCCAGGAGAACTTTTTAATGGCAAACCGCTCTGTGAAGTGCCTCTTCCCTTCATTAAACACTTCACAGGCACGCAGCAACAAATCAACCTGACAGATAGCCATCCAGCCTCTTTTTTATATAATATCATTTTTGAATTTTGCCACCTGACAGAAGGGTTCCTTTTTCACTCATTTTCACTATTGCCACCCTGGTTTGGTTAGGGTAAGAGTGTTGTCTGCTTATGTCCCAGTTCTTTTGCTTCCACAGATGAGGAATCTGATTATCACCCACACTTTCTGAATAAACAAGGCACACAAGCATCCGGGTTACCACCCAAAGAAGTTTACCCTTCGCTGAAACCATAGATCACGATCTGAAAACAAGACGTTGGGAGTACGATAAACCTTTCTTCTCCACGCGGCTTCTTATAACCGTCATAATCTTTGTTCCTTGTTTTTTCAAAGCATCTCCAGTATTGTTGAATCTGCTGTGAACCTGCAACCAAGGGACTGGAATACCTCTCCTTAGTCTATTTTCCATTAATAAATTTTAATGTGACTCTAGATCCAAAATCGGCAGGAAGTATAGTCCCGGGACAGCAGAATATGAGAACAAAATGGACTCAGTAATTGTGGATTTTAGAATCCCAAGTGTAAATTTATTAGCAGAAAAGGCTGGGGGAAAGTGCTTGCTGTGACCCAGACTAGCAGCAGGGAGGCAGCAGAGTCTCTGAATTGGGAACTGAGAAAGGTTTTTAGTCTTGAGTACGGCTATTAATTATCCCGCCTCTGGGAAGCAGCAACGATTAAGGGAAACAAAACCTAAGATCTTTTGAATACCCTCCTTTTTTTCCACAACTAAAAAGCCCCGAACATCATGCCTCTTTCTCTACAGGGGAGTTCCTCTACTCTCTAATCATCCTGGTTGTGCTTTCCTATCCTTTACCCAGCTCTACAATATCCTTTTTGAGGTGCAATCCTAATTCCACAGAGTATTCCAAGTGTGGGCACACTATAGGTTTGTATAAAGGCATGACGGTACCTATAATTTGATTTTCACAATCCTTTCCGTAATAATCTCTAATATCAAATTCACCCTTTAAGCAAAAGCTTTCTGAAAGTCCAAGTATAGGATGTTTGCTTTCCCACATGCTTAAGCTGTTACGCATATATTTAAAAGTATGACAAGCATGGAAAAAGTCAAGTTTGTTGGTACCAGTTGCATTTGCCTTTCAAGCATACACCCCATGGCAACTCTAGCTTTGCTAAGGTACCGATCCATCAGTTCCTGCTCCGCCAAAAGGAATTCCCTACTTGAGTTCCCCCTCATTGTGTGTGGATTATCTCATCGCAATGTCCTCTCTTCATTCCAGGGGAATGGCGCAAGTCAGCTGAGGTTGCGGCCTCAAAGTGAAGGTCGTCTTAGGAACGGTCAAGTCCAAGTCAGTTTCCGTAAGCCCTGGTGGCGGCTGAAAAGTGAATTTCTGCAGCAGTCCCGTGAAGAACAAGAAAAGTTCCATCTTGGCCAAGCTTTCGCCGATGCAATTTCGGCGCCCTGCAAAACCGAAAAAGAATTGGGAGTTGACTGGTGGCACGCCTTGAAAAGAGCCCTCCCGCCCTTTGCACTTCTCTGAATCGCGTGCCATAGCTTAGAAAGGCACTGTTAAAAAGAAGCAGAAATGTGTTCAAAAATGGATATATTACATGGTGGGGAAATGCCTACAAAAAGAACATTTTAGCAATTGCTTAACAAATTGTTAAGCGTGTAAGGGCAAAAGAAGTAATTATAATTTAACAGTTTTCAAGTTACTCTATTTTATCAAAGCAACTAGAAAAAATATATTATGATGGGAAGATCTCACACAGGTGAAGGTAAGCAGTGGGGAGGAGGGGAGGGTTAGGTTGAATTTGGGAAATAATATATGGGACAGCAAAGGCTATAATAGATTCTTATAGAAAAGTAATATATTGTAACCAGAATAGAAGTTTAAAAGCGGAAGTAAATGTACTTTTAGTATTTTCATTATTGTAATAGTTATTATTATTTCTTATCGGTAGAAGGCAGTGTTAATTTAGACTTCTTTGTTTTGCTGTCTGTATAATTTTTTTTTAAGTCAATAAAATAAAAAACAAAAAACAAAACAAACATTTTAGGGTAAAACGCACACCTGACTATGTTTGTGGAAAAAATACATTTACAATGCAGTTTTCAAAATCTCATTATAGTGTGGAAACAGGATAGGAAGGCCCTTTGTGAATGTACATGCAAAACTGGCATTGGCTAGCAATAGAGTGATCCAGTCACCCCTCACCTCGGCCTCATCTGCAATATGGGGTTTACCTTACAAGGCTGTTGGAAGAATTATAAAAGAGACAAACAGTTCACACTTGGAACAGCCTACAGGGCCATAGAAATACTTTGCCAATAACCCCACACCTTGCTCCCAATGCAAGGGAGTTACTTGTTCCAGACCACGTGAGGGGGCTCCATCTTAAGAGCTGCAGAGAAGGGAGAATTTCTCAAGATACAGCTCCTGCCCCGTCACAACACTGCACAGGGGGAGGCTGATAATTTTTCAACAGATTTATACCGCCAAGACGAACGAAGCCCTTTAAGTACCTAAGGAGAAGTAATAAAGTATGCTGGAAATGTAAAGAGAAGGATGGAGACTTTTATCATATGTGGTGGACATGTGAGAAAACAAGGGTTTTTTTAATGAACTGAAAAAGATGTTTAAATACACCTTTCCCAAAAAGCCAGAAGGTTTTTTGCTGGGCTTGATGGGAGAGGAAATTGCAAAGGTGGACCAAAGACTATTTATGTATGCAACAACCGCTGCCAGAACGTTATTAGCCCCAAAGTGGAAATTACAGGAGTTACCAACATTGGAGGAGTGGCAGACGAAAATGATGGATTACGCGGAATTGGCAAAACTGACCTGCAGGATCTAAGATCAGGAGGAATCAAAATTCCAAAGAGACTGGAGTAAATTTATAGACTACATAAATAATAACTGTAGAAGTTTGAAGAGACTAGCAGGATTGAAATAAGTCTTACAATGTGGACTTGACAAAATATGAGGAAACCGCGAGACGCAGATTGGAATAGGAAAACCTGTTGGAGGAAGGGAATGAAGTCTTTGCTCGGCAGAGCGGTGGAAAAGAAGTTGTGTGAATGATTGTTGAAATTTATTGTTTTTTTCTTTGTTTAAAGTGGAAATTTAATAAATATGTATTTGGAAAAAAAAATAAGTACCTAAGGAGAAAGGCATGAAGGCTTCTTTCTTGACAAACTTCCCATCGGCGTCAAGGAAGTGGTTAGGGTTGAACTCGTGAGGGGTCTCCCAATGACTTCGATCCAGGAGCACTGAAGTGAGCGAAGGAATCACCATCGTTCCCTGGATCAGACAGCATGGGGTGGAGGTGATGGAAATTGTAAGCAGGGATGAGAGAAAATCAGGTTTAGAGTCTGAAAACTGCTATCTCATTTACCAGGACTGCTCCTGCATTGATGCAATAAGGCAATGGAAAATACCGTATTTTTCGCTGTATAGGATGCACTTTTTCCCCTCCAAAAATGAAGGGAGAAAGTGCGTGCGTCCTATGGAGCGAATGCAGGCTTCAGGAAGCTATCTGCAAGCCTGCGAAGCCTGGCGGGAACTCCCTCTGGGCTCCGCAGGCTTGCGGATAGCTGCCTGCAGCCCGAAGCCCGGGAAGTGGTCCGGTGCGTCCTATAGAGCGAAAAATACAGTACTTTAGCCTTGAAGGGTTTTGTTCATGCTGCATTTTTAAAGGGAACCTACCCAGTTTGCAATTTACAGACCAAGGCTGCACACACACCATACATTTAAAGCACACTCACTTCCACTGAAATAATCCTGGGAACTGTAGTCGTCCCCCGCCGAGCTACTATTCCCAGCTCTCTTAACAAACTTGTTGGTAGCCATCCCTGCCTCCTGGGGAATGAGTTTCATAGTTTAACTATATGTTGCATGAAGATGTACTTCCTTTTATCTGTCCTGAATCTTCCAACTTGAGGATGTAAAGACGGGCAGGCAAACACAAACATTCACAAATGCACTCAGCAGAGAACGGATATACAGAAGGCAGACTGCAGTTTCCCCTTCAGAGGCCTTCTGCTAGTCACCTATGGTGCCTTTCTTAGGAGCATCACCAGATGGCAGCTTGGGATAGCTTAGTCGGTAGAGCATGAGACTCTTAATATCAATGTCGTGGGTTCGAGCCTTACACTGGGTAAAAAATTTCTGCATTGCAGAAATTGCATAGACAACCCTCGTCCCTCCCAACACTACAGTTCTCTGATTCTTTGAAACGTGACTTGACCAAGGGCTAACTCCCACGTGAATGTTACCTTCATTTATTAAAAATAAAAATAAAATTTATTTATTTACACCTCGCCCATCTGGCTGGGTTTCCCCAGCCACTCTGGGCAACTCCCAACAGAATATCAAACAGAATAAAACATCAAACATTAAAAGCTTCCCTAAACAGGGCTGCCTTCAGATGTCTTTTAAAAGTCAGATAGTTATTTATTTCCTTGAAATCTGATGGGAGGGCGTTCCACAGGGTAGGTGCCACTACCGAGAAGGCCCTCTGCCTGGTTCCCTGTAACCTCATTTCTTGCAGTGAGGGAACCGCCAGAGGGCCCTCGGCGCTGGACCTCAGTGTCTGAGCTGAACGATGAGGGTGGAGATGTTCCTTCAGGTATACTGGGCTGAGGCCGTTTAGGGCTTTAAAGGTCAGCACCAACACTTTGAATTATGCTCGGAAACGTACTGGGAGCCAATGTAGGTCTTTCAGGACCGGTGTTATCTGGCCTCAACCTCTGATGAGCTGCATGTGTGAATGGACCCACAAGAAAGCATGTGTTTCATTCACACATACATGTCAGGGTCAGAATGGCATTACATTGCCATCAAATGAGGAACCTGCAGGTGTGAAGGGAGAACAGAACACAAGTCATGCTCAAGAGCTGCTCAGCTGTTAAAATTGACTAGAGTTAACAGAACAATGCTAAAGTACAATGAAGTATACTCAGCATGCAAAATCAGGCATGCACCTTTGGAGAAGGTACCTTTGGGAGAAAGTAGCCCCTGAAATGCGTGTCAGCTGATGTGCTGCGTGGGACATGCGGCAAGAGCGTGATGAATCTCTGCACCTCGTGGATCACTGCATTGGTATAGGGCATGTCTTTCCGGTCATCATATGTGGCCCAGTGGCCTGGTTTCACAACCCGCCCAATCTCCTCTTGAACCTTTTCTGGAACAAAACCAAAGAACAGGGTGCAATTAAATTCCTTGCACCTGTAGATACTCCTGGCTTGGATAATTCACTTATCCAAACATAAGGAAATAGTACACACCACAAATTCAGATATCCAAACAGCTGGACTTGCGTGTAGCACTGTAAACAAATAAGCAGCCTTCATAAAAACCTTTTTCTGATCCACAGGTTTTCATGGGTTTATTTTATCCTTTTGGGGTCAAAATTCCTTGGTCAGAAACACATTAGAAATTTCCCCATAGGAATAAGTGGAAATCGTCGACTCATTACGCAAACGCTTGCCTAACAAACAATTTTGTGTTAACACGTTGTGTTTGGATAGTGGGACTTGCGTGTATTGTGTCAGGAAGTTCAAATTTGATAGATTTGGCTTTAAATGCATACTGACTTGAATTTCTCCTCCCTCCCTAGTTCAGAGAGAGCTATTGCCCTTAGGTTCCAGCTGTGGGCTTCCCAGAGGCATCGGATTGGTTGCTGTGAGAAACAGATGCTAGACTAGATGGGCATGGGGCCTAATTCAGCCATGGGGCTTCTTTTGCCTAGAAGCTCATATCCTCTAGAAGCAGTAGCAGCAGGAGGAGACTGTGAATGAACTGGCCACTCACTTTGAATCTTTGGGTACTTCATCATCAGCAGAACGGCCCATTGCAATGTCGTTGCCGTGGTCTCTGTTCCAGCCATGACAAGATCCAGGATGGAAGCAATGAGGTTGTCATCATTAAAAAGGTTCTCTCGCTTAGTCGTATCCTGAGAAGGTGGTAGAACTCATGATTGAAATTGAAAACAAAAATACTCTCACTCTATTTAATACACTGGTACCTCGGGTTAAGAACTTAATTCGTTCCGGAGGTCCGTTCTTAACCTGAAACTGTTCTTAACCTGAGGTACCACTTTAGCTAAAGGGGCCTCCCGCTGCCGCTGTGCGATTTCTGTTCTCATCCTGAAGCAAAGTTTTTAACCCGAGGTACTATTTCTGGGTTAGCGGAGTCTGCAACCTGAAGCGTCTGTAACCCGAGGTACCACTGTACACAGGTATCGGTGGAAATATATGCCTCTGGCACCCAATTGCTGAGGAACACAAGCATCACATCTTGCTTGTGGACTTCTGACACACAGACTCATCTTGTTGGCCAGGATGCTGGACTAGACAGGACAGGGGTGAGGGACCTTATTGGCTCAACGAGCCCAATTCTTAATTGGATCATAGCCTCTCAGGACTCAGCTAAAATAGTAAAGGAAAAGTGTTTTATACGTGCTATAACACCGTGACACTAGATGGCGCTGTGGAGTTCTCTCTTTCGCCGACATGATTTCCCACTTTAAGGTTTACAATGCGTTTTCCTGAAATGCTTTTTTGATGTGTCTAGATCCAGCCTCAGGCCAAATTCAACAGGTGTGGAGATCGGGGACAAGGATGACAGGTGGTTGGGTGCTTTGAAGTCCCAAAGTTGGGACTTCAATCTGAAGGCCGCATTCATTTCTGGAGAAACCTTTCAAGGGCCACATTATGTGTTTATTATTGCATTATTTGTTACATTTCTATCCCATCTTTCCTCCAAGTAACTCAGGGTGGCATATACATTTAATCCCCACAATAATGCTGAGAGGTGGTGACTGGCCCAGGTCACTCAGTGAGCTTCATGGCTGAGTGGGGATTCAAACTCTGGTCACCCAGCGCCTAGCCCAACACTCTAACACAGGCTTCCTCAAACTCAGCCCTCCAGATGTTTTGGAGACTACAATTCCCATCATCCCTGACCCCAGGTCCTGCTAGCTAGGGATCATGGGAATTGTAGGCCAAGAACATCTGACGGGCCAAGTCTGAGGAAGGAAGTCTGCTCTAACCACTAGGCCACACTGGCTCTCATGCATGTAGTGGATGGGGCCAGAGGCAAAAGCTGGCAGAGCCATGAATGTATTGCTTGTCTTTGTACAGTAGGCTAGTTTGTACACAGATTCTGTTCTATCTTCCAACCAGGCAAAACCGCTCAAAGATGGTGCATAATTGGGCTGGTGAAAAGTGTGAGGTGGTCCTAGGAGGAGGTGTAGCCTGGCAAGAGTGCCAAGGGCCAGACAGAAGGATGCATTTGGCCCCTGGGTTTGAGATTCCCAACCCCTGCAGTAGGATACTTCTGAGGTCCTGAAACCTGAATCATCAAAATACCTCTCGTTGCTTGAAGACCAATGCATCTGTGTAGCTTTTGAGGCTGTTGGCGTTGATGTCTTGCTTGCTTGTCTTGATGTATTCCCTTATAATGATACGGACGTCTTCGATCCTCTTCAGTAGAATTTTGTGAGCGTTGAAAAGAAATCCAAGGAATGGGTAGAAATTAAACAGCTAGTCAGGAGGAAATTAAGGGGGAAACGTTGGAGAGGGAGGTGAAATAAATGTTAGTTACCTTGAAAAGCAATGTAGACAAAAGTCATTCAGCAGGGTTGTGTTTGGGGAAAGGATTGTCCAAGGAAATAGGTATTCCCATGACTGTCTTACCCCTCCCCACAGTCTTCAGGAAGAAGGATTGCCCCTGAGTTGGGATGTCGGAGAATTCCAATGAAAATCGAACAGAAGCAGAAATTGTTGATGCCTGCTTATTCAACCCACGCATGAAATGGAGATCAATCCAGTGAATACCAATTGGTATTTGCTGTTGTTGCTATTTTCAGTCTGCAAAGGGTATGTAATTGATGACGGTCACTCTGCAACCCCGCCCGATTTAAATTGTGTTTCCTCAACATCAAAATAAATGCCCTTTGCATTGAAACAATTGGTATGGGGGGAAATGTCACCAATTAGCTTAAATTTGTAACTAACACCACATAGAGAAAATTTATGTCAGTTGTATATGCTGGTCTGTCACCATAATGAAGTTGTGTGTGTGTGTGTGTGTGTGTGTATCTAAATAGTAGACAGCAAGATTAATAAAATAGTATTTGGTGGGAACTGAACTGCAGCGGAATGGAAACAGCACTGTTTGTGACGAAAAGAGGTCAGAGCCCCCTGGAGTACAATGAGAATTAACCCAGACGGGGATTATAATAATCTTGGATGCCCCTCTCTTGGATCAGGTATCTATAGGCCAAAGTGAATGCCTGTTGCATTCTGATTTTGCATGGACTTTCTATTAACCTTCAGCTTTGTAACCCAAGAAGCAGTTGAGAAGAAATCTAATCTCTCTCACACAAAAACTGAAAGCTGCCATAGGAGTGATTTCAATGTATGATGTAGATGGGACCTAAAATTGTGTGAATGTGTCTTACACTCAAGGTTGAGAATCTTACATGCTAAAGAGAACCAACGTGGTAGAGTGGCTGGCAAATTGGATTTAGAACAAGGGGAAACTGAGTATTAGATTATGGTCACATCCGCATCATGTATTTAAGGCACTGTGACACCATTTTAAGGGTGCAGGCAACTGTGAGATCAGCTCCCTTAGCAAACTACAGCTCCCAGGGGAAATTTCACTCTTCTTCATGTAATAAATAAACCCATCATTCTTACTTTCTATTGAATGGGGAAGACAAATCCTGGACCCTCAGCTCAGCACATCTAGTTTGGAATTCCTTCCAGTTTATTACCCCATAAGTGTATGAAGTAGCAGCTACAAAGTTTTCTTACGTGCAAGAATGGAGATCCAAGAAGGCACATAACTTCATCTATGAGTCTTAGCAGAGTGGTGAATATTGGATCTTTGTAGTCGAACCTCTCTCCAAACAGCAGAGCGAAAGTAATGTTGGTTGGGGCAGTGTTAAAGGTTCTGAGAATGAAAGGTTCACCTAAATGGATGAAACCGAGAATAAAACAGGGACAAGTCCTGGTGGAAGCCAGGAGTTGAAACCTTATTGTTCGCAACAATAAATGAAGATCAGTAGCTAGAGATTCGGAAGTGGAACAGGGGCCACTTGCCAAGTCAATCACAGAATCATAGAAGTCAAGACCCAAGAAAAGTTCATGGAGGGAGAGAGTGATAACTGTGGGGTCCATAATTTCTCCAGTATGGTTTTCCTATAAAACCAGTTGCTCACTGTGCACATAAGTGCATCAGTGTTTCTGTACCATTACCAGGGAAATTATAGAGTTGGAAGTGATAAAGAACCCAACTAGTCCAACGATCCTTGTCACAAAACGACCCAGTTTTTGTTGAGATTTCCATTCCACCTTAAGGAGCAGACGTGTGGAACTGTTGCATGTCACATGTCTGTTTACATTCCAGCACAGCTTGCTGGGAACTTCTGTTGTGTATAGCTTTTGCTTTTCCGGTTCTCTCTGAGAAGACGAGAGAGAGAGAGAAGGCATGTTTCTTTGTCCTGATGTATGATTAATAAATCTGTAGTTGTAGTATGCTTCCACAAGCCTCACGCCTATTCTGTGCGTGCAGTTCGCTCTGCTGATAGTGTGTCCTGCCTTGAAAGCCCGGGTCGCTGATTTACATTGGAGCAGAGACCGATGGTCTTCGCAGCGGGAAGACTGGAAGGAGACAGCCCAGCTGGGGCTAGCCAGCTGGTCTCCCAGCCCTCTGCATGTCAACAGTTTTCCCATTATCACCACCTCCTGTCTTGGATCAGTGCTATTATCAGTGGTTCAAAACATCTCTCAGTAGCTGCAGGGTGTGAAATGGTAAGCTGGGCACAGCTTGGTGTATTAATGCTCATGCACATGTGCGCTAGGGGCACCCACACCTCGGAGACTTGGGACAATCTGTTCATTAAGCAGTTATCCTCACTTGTTCGCAGGAAGATCGGACAACATTGGCTATTTTGAGCAGTCAGTCTGACTTAGAATGATAGAATTGTAGAGCTGGGAGGGACCTTGAGGGTCATCGAGTCCAACCCCCTGCAAGGAAGGAATCTCAACTAGATCATACATGACAGATGGCCATCCCACCTCTGCTTAAACCCCCCCCCAAGGAAGGAGTGCCCACCACCTCTTGTCTGTCCCACTGTCAAACAGCCCTTACTGTCAGAAAGCTCTTCCTAATGTTTAGTCAGAATCTCCTTTCTTGTAGCTTGATGCCATTAATGGGGTCCTAGTCACTGGAGCAGGATAAGCAAGCGTATTCCATCTTCCATGTGACAGCCCTTTATTTGAAGATGGCTAGCACATCTCCTCTTAATCTTCTCTTTACCAGGCCAAACATAGACAACATCTTAAAAAAGCAGAGACATCACCTTGCCAACAAAGGTCCGTATAGTTAAAGCTATGGTTTTCCCAGTAGTGATGTATGGAAGTGAGAGCTGGATCATAAAGAAGGCTGATCGCCGAAGAATTGATGCTTTTGAACTATGGTGCTGGAGGAGACTCTTGAGAGTCCCATGGACTGCAAGAAGATCAAACTTATCCATTCTTAAGGAAATCAGCCCTGAGTGCTCACTGGAAGGACAGATCGTGAAGCTGGGGCTCCAATACTTTGGCCACCTCATGAGAAGAGAAGACTCCCTGGAAAAGACCCTGATGTTGGGAAAGATGGAGGGCACAAGGAGAAGGGGACGACAGAGGACGAGATGGTTGGACAGTGTTCTCAAAGCTACCAACATGAGTTTGACCAAACTGCGGGAGGCAGTGGAAGACAGGAGGGCCTGGCGTGCTCTGGTCCATGGGGTCACGAAGAGTCGGACACGACTAAACGACTATACAACAACAATCATATCTCCTCTTAATCTTCTCTTTACCAGGTCAAACATACCCAATTACCCCATAAGCCTTGGTTTCCAGACCCTTTATCATCTTCATTGCCGTCCTTTGCACATGTTCCAGGTTTTCAATATCCTTCTTAAATTGTGGTGATCAGAAATGGACACACGACTGCAGTATAGGTCTGACCAAGACAGAATAGAGTGGGACTATGACTTTCCTGATTAAGACACTATACTTCTGTTGATGCAGCACAGAATACCACTAGCTTTTTCTTTTTGCTGCTGCATCACACTGTGGACTCATGCTAAGCTTGTGGTCTACTAAGACCCCCAGATCCCTTTTACATGTACTACTGGCAAGCCAGGTGTCCCCCATCCGTGGAGTTGGTTCTGCCCTAACCTCCTAAATTTTCCAAACTCACCTTTAAAAGATTTAATGTCCTCTACAAGGAAACCAAGTTCTTCATTAATCTGCTGCTCTATGAGCTTCTTCCCCACGCCAAGATTGCGCATGCTGGCCATGGTGAATCTTCGGGTAGTCCTCCACAGCTCGCCGGTGGAAAAAAACACCCCTATTGGGGTAGACATAAGACATGGTCTTGTTCATTTGAATTAGGGAAGAGTTCTGTGAAATGCTTTTTTTTTTTTTTAAGAGACATCAGACTTCCTTTAGAATATATATATCACCAGATATATACCGTATTTTTCGCTCTATAGGACGCACTTTTTCCCCTCCAAAAATGAAGGGGAAATGTGTGTGCGTCCTATGGAGCGAATGCAGGCTTTCCCGGGCTTCCTGCAGCTCCGCGCCACCCTCCGGATCCCGGCGCGAAGCCGCGCGGGGCTCCGGAGGGTGGCGCGGAGCTGCCTGCGCCCCAGGGCTTCCTGCAGCTCCGCGCCACCCTCCCGATCCCGGCGCGAAGCCGCGCGGGGCTCCGGAGGGTGGCACAGAGCTGCCTGCGCTCCAGGGCTTCCTGCAGCTCCGTGCCACCCTCCCAATCCCGGCGCGAAGCTGCGCGGAGCTCCGGAGGGTGGCGCGGAGCTGCCTGCGCTCCAGGGCTTCCTGCAGCTCCGCGCCACCCTCCGAACCCCGGCGCGAAGCCGCGTGGGGCTCCGGAGAGTAGTGCAGAGCTGCCTGCATTCCGAAGCCTGGTGCGCGCTGAAGAGCGCGCCCGGGCTTCGCGCACCTCTCCGCAAGCCTGGGGAGACCGGCTCGGTTCCCTAGGCTTGCGGATAGCAGGCTGTTCTGGGGGCTGGGGTCGGGGGAAGCTCGGGCTTCCCCCGCGCCTGCCCCGTGCCTGGGGAGGGATTTTTTTTTTTCTTTATTTCCCCCCCAACAAAAAAAATTAGGTACCTTGAACGCACCTTGTTTTAGAGGGAGAGAACAAGAAAAAAAAATTTTTCCCTGTTCTCCCCCTCCTATGATCCGGTGCGTCCTATGGTCCGGTGCGTCCAATGGTGCGAAAAATACGGTATATCTGTGGCGCTGTGGGTAAAACCTCAGCGCCTAGGACTTGCCGATCACATGGTCGGCGGTTCGAATCCCCGCGGCGGGGTGCGCTCCCGTCGTTCGGTCCCAGCGCCTGCCAACCTAGCAGTTCGAAAGAACCCCCGGGTGCAAGTAGATAAATAGGGACCGCTTACTAGCGGGAAGGTAAACGGCATTCCGTGTGCTGTGCTGGCTCGCCAGATGCAGCTTGTCACGCTGGCCACGTGACCCGGAAGTGTCTGCGGACAGCGCTGGCTCCCGGCCTATAGAGTGAGATGAGCGCACAACCCTAGAGTCTGGCAAGACTGGCCCGTACGGGCAGGGGTACCTTTACCTTTTATATCACCAGAACCACTGTTTTTCTCATCTTCCCCATTCCCCTGTCAGGGACTGGGCAGAGGAGGAATGGTGGAGACCACCTTCCCAGCTTGACCCTTCCAGAGAAGAAGAAGACTGTTCAGAATTACAACAGAGGTTTGAGGGGGGTCACAGCTCAGAGGAAGATGAGGGGGAAAGCTGGGAAATAAATGGGAGAGGAGGAAGAAGAAGCACCAGGGGGGGACAGCTGAAGGACACGGTGTCACTAGAAAGCATTCCAGACCCACCATCTCCCAGAACCTGGCAAGCCTTAAAAGTAGGAGAGCAAAGAGCTTGAAGACAGATGGCCCCAAGTGGCAACCATAGAGGGGGTGCTACTATTGACGAATGAGGAAGTGGGAGAGAAGGGGGGGGTGGAGAGTCACTCGGGACAGCACCATTATTCTAAGAGCCTGCATTCCCAAGCCTCTCTCTGTAAATGTTGAAGAGGTGGTAAGGCCTTTTTCTTGTCTTATCTGTTCCTGTCAACCTGCCGTGGGGGTTGGTTCCTCTGCCACCTGACATTCCCAAACCCTGAGTTCCCCCGGCAGTTCCAAGCATCCTGACATCAAAGCCCCCCTCCTTCTCACAAGCTGCTGATTGCTTTACAAAAGCATGCCACAACTTTATAAGGGACTTGCAGAAAAGCAGGAATTAAGGCAATTGTGTTCAGTCAATGTCTGGAGGAAGAGTCAGGAATTAAAAAAACACTAATGTCAGTGAAGTTAACATTTTAGTAAAAAAAACCCGAAACAGCACAGGCCTAGTGACCACAGCAACTCTTGCCCCAATGAAGCAGTTGCAAGGACTGAAGGTCCCTGCCTTTCCACCGATCTCTAAGGTTCCTTCCCCAGCAGCCTAAGGCTCATTCGTCTTGTCTCTCTTTACTCCACCCTCTTCATTTCTCTGCGTGTTCTGGGACACTGGGGGAGAGGGGAGCCAGTCACAGCAGGAGGGGGAGATTCCCTGGCTTCTTCAGCATCCTGACTCATCTGCCACCCTCCTCTCCTGCCTCTGAGTCTGGACTGCTCTCTGCCACAACCTCTTCCTGCTCACTAAACCCTGTTGCCGTTTCTGACACCTCCTCCTCCCATTCTGCTCCCTCTTTTCCTTCATTGTCATCCCACCAACAATCCTCTGGCTCTGAACCTTTGGGGGTTTCCTTGGGGGTTCCCCAGCTGGTGCTTCCTCCCATTCCTCTGTATCCAGCCAGTCCATGACAGTCCGTTACCATTTCCACGCTGAATCTCTTCAAATATTGGGATTGGCGGCCTGTCCACAAAGTCCTCCGTAAAGGTCACAAGGGCATCTCTCACAGCTTCGTAGCCAGTCAGCACTACTACCTTTTGGAATCCAAAATGGAGGGTGAACACCGGGCCATATTTCTCAGCAAGCTGAAAGGTAAGCAGGGGTTATAACAAAGTACCTTCAAATGGTCTTGTTACTGCTGTAAACTTCTCCTAATATACAGTTTTGCCCAATAATTTACACTTTTGGCAAAGCATTTTCCTCCAATATAATGCATTTTTTTGTATTTCTGCTTGTTAATGCATGTATTCTTATGCACACCCAATATACATGCATTTTTGATACCCATTCCTTGACTGAAAAATTTGGAGAAGTTCAAATTCTGAAGGGTAACTGTGTTTCGGTTCACATATTGTTTCAGAAAGTAAGCGATTGCTTGGTTTGTCTTTAAATGTGAACTGAATCGAATCTCCCTCAAATCCCTACACCTTAATGGAGGCAAACAAGAATGACTTGAATAACATCATCAGCTCCTTCTTCCCTGAAGATGGATCTTGTTTTCAGGGTATCTGAAGTGTTCTTGGAGATCTGGATAGAACAGGCTGAATGGCAGCCTGTTGGAGTGGAAGGCAGTTGAGAACTCAGCTTTTGATTAATAGCTATTTGTTATGTACTAAGCTTGGATCCTAGAACAATAGGCAAGTAGGATCCTAGAATGCAACAACTGATTGGCTTGCAGGAAAAGGCCAATCAGGCTCCAGGAGGAAGTTAATCAGCCTATTAGGGTGGTAGGATCGTAGAATGCAACAACTGATTGGCCTGCAGGAAAAGACCAATCAGGCTCCAGGAGGGAAGCAGAATCAGCCAGTCAGACGGGACTCATTGTGTAAATAATGTATATAAAAGCCTGAGGTTTGGGGGGCAATCCAATCACTGTCTTACAAGCTGCAATAAAGAGCATGAAATCACTACAGGACTCCGAGTATATTTCACTGTTCTTTGACATTTACATATTTGGAGGAGACTTTGTGCCCAGGAAGGATGGAGTGAATAACCAATTGCTCAGCCTTGTCATTGGGAACCAGAGAGTCTTGTCAGTTTCAGTTTCTCTTAGTTTCACATTTTTCTGATCTTCAGTTCTTCACATTTCCATATTACTTTGCTTTTTTTTTTTAAAAAAGTCCTCATGAAAACGTATCAGCATTTTAGTACAAATAAGACAGTGCTACCTTGGTTGTCAAACTTAATCCGTTCCGGGAGTCCATTTGACTTCCGGAACTGTTCGAAAACCAAGGCGTGACTTCCGGTTGGCTGCAGGAGCTTCCTGCACTCAATCGGAAGCCGTGGAAGCCGCTTTGGACATTTGGCTTCCAAAGAACATTTGAAAACTGAAACATACACTTCCAGGTTTTCAGCGTTTAGGAGCCAAAACGTACGAGTACCAAGGCGTTCGAGAACCAAGGTATGCACATTCTTGAATGCTTAAGTGCCTAGACATGGCTTAATGCAGGTATAAACAGGAAGCTCTGCTGGACCCCTGGCAACTGCACATTATTTGGCTGGTGAAGTCCACTGTAAAATCTGGAGAACTGCAAATTTTGAAGAGTGGCTGTGTTTTGGCTCTCATACTCTTTTGGAAAATGCCAGTTATGTAAGTATGCCTTTAAATGCAAACTCTCCCCCCATCCCTATTCAAAAAAGATTATCTAAACAAACACTTTGCCTCTTTAGAGCCAAATGCATGTTACATAATTGTACTGTGAGTTCTCTTTACATCTGTTGTTTTCTAAAGCAGGGGATGGGAGCTGTCAAATTAAGAAATAAAGCCCCCACAGTTACAGCAAATTTAATTAATTATTGCATAGGGGCTGGTAGAAGTAATGCAGGAAGACCCATTTCAAAGTGCACAACTGCAACCCACCCCTTGTTTACTCTAGAGTAATTCCACAAAAGTAAAAAATAAATAAGATGGATGAAATACGTAGAGGATGTGCACATAAAGAGATAACAACTGTGTTAAACTCGAACCAACATGTGATTGCATTCGTGGTTCTCTTGCAGCACAGCATTATCTTACTCAGCTGATTTAAAACAAATGTATGCCAGAAATATAAATCTTTACTAGGGATGGGCAAATCTGTCAATTATCAGTTCTCTCAGTCTCTCGGTTTCCCAATTTCAAATTCAGTTCTGCGCATTTCTGTAGCAATTTGCGACTTTAAAAAGATCCTTACACAAATTCAGCAGCATTTTAGTAAAAAATTATCCTAATAAACATTTTTTTGTATGCAGTTTTGACAGATATACGTATTTTTGCAAGCAATTCAGCCAAATACAATACTTTCCTGTATGTTTTCAATAATATATGCAGGCATATGTACATTTTACCCTAATGGTAGCTTAGCTATAGAACTGCATTGCAAAAAATAAAAAAGTAGAAAAGTGTGGATTTCAGTTCGCACATTCTTTTGGAATGTGTGGATTTGGTTAAGTTCACCTCTGAACCAAATCAGACTTCTCCCTCTTCCCTAATCCTCTCTTGAATTTGCACAAAGGGACCAAAAGCACAGCTTATGTGAAGCAATTTTATTCCCTACCTTCAATATGGATTTGTCCTGCCTTTTCATATCCAGCAAATGTAGGTTCCCAATGATTGGGAGAGGCGTCGGACCAGGCGGGAATGTAAAATTCGGTTTTCCGAAGCTCCTTGGAAAATAGAGCGATGCCAAGAAGAAGACCAGGCACAGCAGACAGATGCACGCAGGAGAAGAGAGGAGGAAATTTAACAGAGGCATTTTTTATTTTTTAAAAAAGTTGCTTCTCCAGAAAGAATGGGAGAAAATATTCAGTTGCCCTGATCTGTCCACTGGTTCTGAGCTTTATATTTCTGCTTTGCAATTACCACACACACACACCAAAAAAAAAAAAAAAAAAAAGATCTAGCAGAGCTTGTGTAAATGCAGTAACCCCACCCTTTTTAAACACTTCTGGAGAATGTGGTCTAAGCAGTTTCTGATTGGAAAGAAAGAAGTCGGTTTTGAGTTACGGGCCCTGCCTGTGGGTACAGGATTAGATACAAACACTGTATGGCACCATGGGGCTTCACACACCCTTCTAGCCTTCTGGGTGTGTGACTTGGGGCCAAATTGCTGGATCGCCCTCATTTCCCTTTTAAACTGAATTGCGGCAGGAATTGGGGGCTACCAGCTTCTTCAGAGCAAGTGGGGCAAGGAAGGAGGTTCACAGAGTGAACCCTGAATCTGGTGTGGGTGACTGCTTAGCCACCATCACAAAGAATGCATGGGTTTGCATGAAGTGTGCACAAGCTGATTTGTAAGTGGATGTACAGTGGTACCTCGAGTTAAGTACTTAATGCGTTCCGGAGGTCCGTTCTTAACCTGAAACTGTTCTTAGCCGGAGGAACCACTTTAGCTAATGGGGCCTCCCGCTGCCGCCGCACAATTTCTGTTCTCATCCTGAAGCAAAGTTCTTAACCTGAGGTACTATTTCTGGGTTAGCGGAGTCTGTAACCTGAAGCATCTGTAACCCGAGGTACCACTGTATGTAGGGATGGACTACAACTCCCATCAGCACGCTGCCTGGGGCTGATGGGAGTTGTAGTTCAAAACATCCAGAGGGCATGGCTGCCGGAGAGCAACCTTTCCTCCACAGGGCAGCCGCAACATGTTGCCTGTCACTTAATTTCATTGTATCCAAATAGCGAACTTGGCACCACCCTTGGGGGGGGGGGTAGAGGATCTCACCAGGCTCAGCGGAACCCCCAAGATTTGCAGAAATGCAACAAAGGCTTTGTGATCAGGGCCGACCCCTAAAGTGGGGGAGAACACCAAAAACAGCTCTGTGGGGAGACTGAGCATGCTTAGTGTTCACAGAATGCTGATTTACTGAGGGTGGGGTGGTTTTTTATTATTTTGGGAGGGAGGGAGGGAGGGAGGGAGGGGGAGTTGGAAAACCAGAGGGGAGAGGAACGCAATGGAATATTCTGGGAAATGGCTTAGCTGGCTGGCTGGGATCCTGAACACGTGCAACCTCTTACTTCTTGTCAAGCAACCGAGGGGAACACAACTTGGGACTTGGGCAAGAAGCAGCAGAATGAAGTTACTCAGCTCCATGCCCCGGGCGATTTCAGAACAGCCAAACATATTTAATTGCTAATGATCATGTTTCAGTTCTTCTTATTTAACTTTTCCATTTGATTTCTTAATAAGTACGTCATGCCCTGTTGATTTGTCTCTGCAGTTGGCACTTCAGCCAGGTATGTTACAATTAATATTAATTTTTGCCATGCTTGACTTGGAAGGTTTCATCAAGCATTTACCGTAAGTGAGGCAGATGGATGGCCTTCTATCTCCCGCATAGGCAGTTCCCTAAAGAATGCAGACAGACCAAATTCCTGGCATTTTCATGACCCTTGTAAGCCTGGAACACAAAGAGCTGGCTGTGATGGTCATGGAAAACACTGTGTCCCCCCCCCCAAAAAAAAGTGCTGTGAAGGTTAAATCCCACTTTTACAGGGACGCAAAAGGAGAAGGGAAGGTTACAAAGGTTGCTTCCATGTGACCTCATAACTGAGCATTCATTCTGATTTGCTTACACCAAATTTGCAAGGAAGTTGGACGACATTCATTCTGATTTGTTTGGAGATGAAGTTGCACCAAGCAAATGCTATCCCACACTTTCCACTCCGTTTTTCTATATTCCCCACCCAACCCAAAAGAAGGTCTGGTTTTGGAGGTGGAAGCGAGTTTGTTGCACAAGAGCTCTAAATCAAGCTGAATGGTTCAACCTGAATTTGCTGGCGACATGATTGAATCCCACAGGGAAATGGTGCAAAACAAAGTGCAAAGGTTTGCACAACTCTCAGGCAACTGGGGGCAGTCTAAAAATCTGCATGGCTGCGAATTTCTTTTCCCTCCCTCCCTCTCTTTTAAAAAAGAGCTTTGGGGTTCAGGTCTGCCTTTTCTCCTTAGCTCAGTAGGAGAGCATCTGCTTTGCATGCAGAAGGTCGCAGGTTCAACTCCTGTCGGGGTTTGGAAAGGCTCCTTGCTTAAAACTCCTGGAGAGCCGCTACCAGTCGGTGTAGACAATACTGAGCTAGATAGCTTTCGGACAGTAATGATCAAATTACTTTAATAGTGGCTGAATTCTTGAGTGCTGTCCATGTAGAAAGACTGGGCCATTATAAAGAGATTTAGTGGCTATATTGTATTATTTATGCAAATTGATTTTCTCTGGAGTTAAAGATCTGACTGGGACAAAGCTTGTTATGTTGAGCTTGTATTTTGCACAATTTGTATATGGTGTTTGTGTGGTTTGCTATGCCTAATAAAGGATATTTGATTGATTGATTGATTACTGAGCTAGATGGGCAAATGCTCTTGCTCAGCATAAGACACCTTCCTGTGTCCCTGCGCTCCAATGACCTGAAACCCTGCAAAGGCATCTTCCTCAAAAAGCCAGTGGCAGCCAGCATTGCAAGGGATGGTGGTAATAAGTGGCAGGCGCATTGGCCGAATTCAAGGGTGTTGTTAGGGAGTAACCCAAGAGACCGGAGACCTGGCTCTTTTGAGCCGAGCCTCAGAGAGCCTACTCATTTCTCTCCCCTTTGTTAAAACAACAACAGCCACATAAACAGACATATAAATTAGCAGTCATCATACGTAGTCATTCACATGGCATTAAAACTTGGGAAATTATTTTGCAGTACAAATTCAGCTCACATCCACGGGATATACTTCAATCTAAAGCGTTCAGATAATTTCTTCATAATTTCTGCAACGGAGACAGAAAGGACACGTACATATATTCAGTGCTTTTTTTTCCCCTTAAAAAATGTTTCGGGGTACTCTCATTTTGACTCAAGGAAACCACCAGTTTATAGTTCAAATCGGGGGAAATAAATACAGTATATGGACAAAAGTCCCCCCCCCCAAAAAGCACTGCATGTGTTTGTCTTAGAAGACCACCTTTGTGTTGGGTCATTGTTTTTGAAATTTTCAATAAAGTCTGTAATAAAATAAAATAAAACAAAATAACCTTTGCAAATTTTGTAGGGCTGTCAAAGGTCTTCAGTTTTCATTCCGACTCACATCCATCGCACGCAGGACTGTTTCCATTCTGCTGCAGTTCACATTTCGCCCAAACTACATTACTCCCCTCACTGTCTGCTGAGGTGGAATTTTACGTAACTGATAACGTTATCACGACATCATTCCGACATCATTCATTTCAATGTAAAGGAAACGCAGTGTAAATGGGTTGGAAACAATATAATCAATTACGTTCTGTTTGCAGATTGAAAAAAAGAACTGGAAATTGCAGAAGGGGTCCTGGGGTCCAGTATTTGAAGACTATGGAGAGAAGACAGTATGATTTAGATAAAACAGGGGTAGGCAACCTAAGGCCCGTGGGCTGGATGCGGTCCAATCGCCTTCTCAATCCGGCCCACGGATGGTCCAGGAATCAGCGTGTTTTTACATGAGTAGAAAGTGTCCTTTTATTCAAAATGCATCTCTGGGTTATTTGTGGGGCTTGTCTGGTGTTTTTACATGAGCAGAAGGTGTGCTTTTATTTAAAATGCATCTCTGGGTTATTTGTGGGGCATAGGAATTCGTTCATTCCCCCCCCCCTCCAAAATATAGTCTGGCTCACCACATGGTCTGAGGGATGGTGGACCGGCCCATGGCTGAAAAAGGTTGCTGACCACTGAGCTAAAATCAGGAATCAGAAGGTCTTTGCTTTCCATTTGATGGAACAGCAAGGGCCGTATCGTTTATCAGGTGCCCGACCAAAAATTGTGTATAGGGAGCTGCCTTAAGGAGCTGAGCCAAATCAGAGTTTCATCTATCTCAGTCCTGCCTGCACTGACAGTAGCTCTCCGTGGTGACAGACTCAAGTTTTCCCCATCTCTCCTTGGAGATGGCAGAGACTGAACCTAAGACCATCTCCAAGTGTGAAACAGAGGCTCTGGCACTGAACCATGGCCCTTTCCCACACTGCACAGAGAGGGGAGAAAGAATGAGGGACTGGGGGGTGTTAATGCCAAAGTCATAACCAGCAGAATACTACGCATGGTGATATTTGTTCAAGGCCCAGGTGGCTACGTGTTGAAAAATAAATAAATCCCGAGCCAGCTTGACATATATCATCGGGGAGGATTTTTGCTTGCTGAGACACACCCCTCACCCCCCACCCAAGAGGTATGTGCCCCTACCCACTACTTTGGCCCCTTGCCCATGCCTTGATAGAGGGAATGTTCTCCTTCACAAGATGGGATTGTCTTGTACAAAGGTCAAGAGATGTAGAGAGGAGCAGTTTAAATGACAAGGTTATGCAAGGCTGCTGCGCTGAAAGGAAATTCCTGGCCAGAAAGTGCCTCTGTTTTCTGTCTGTTTATTGCACAGCTAGTCTACGTGCCTCCCAGGTTGAGCAGAAACAGAGTAGGGGGTTTATCTACTGCGGAGAATGCAGGCGGTGGAGGCTCTTTCTTAAAGGTGTGACTCATTGCCAGGGGACAAGGAGCAATTATTTGTGAACTGGGAATGGAGGATGGGCGAAATTGGGTTCAGTTTGCATTTAAAGGCGAACTTGCCTAATTCACAGTTCCCGAAACGATACACCTGGCACAGGAAAACTCAGCCCTCCAGATGTTTTGGGACTACAACTCCCGCCATCCCTAGCTAACAGGACCAGTGGTCAGGGATGATGGGAGCTGTAGTCCCAAAACATCTGGAGGGCCAAGTCTGCCTATGCCCACGATACACAAACCAAAACACGGCCACCCTTTCCAATTCGCACCTCTCTGAATTATGCACTGCAGTTTTCCAGCGGAGTCATGCTTTCCAAAAAGCATTTACAAGGGCATTGTGTGTGTAGAATGTATAGAAATGTGACAGTCACATACAAAAATGCATCAAAATATAGAAAATTGCTTTGCGGGGGGAAAGGTGTGTTCTAGGCAAATTAGGCAGATAAAAGAGTATATATTAGGATAAATTAATCAATGAATCTTCATGATGACTAGAAAAATAAAACAGTGAAGTGATGTGAAAATATGGAGAACTGAATTTAAGACTAGAAAAATGCAAAAGTGAGGGAAAACATAATTGACTAATATATATAATAAATAAACAGCTGATGCAAATACCTGAGAAGGTCTTTAGGGAAGGAGGCAGTATTTCCAATACTTGGAACCAAGCAGGTTTTTTTAAAAAACAGACGTGAGCAGCTTGAATTGGGCCCAAAAACAAACTGGCAAGAAATGCAGAGTACACTTTACATGAGAGTAAGCCATATGGAAATCAGTGGGCCATGCAAGAGATACAGGATAGTGCTGAACGTCAAAGAAAACTTGAAGGATTTTTATAGAGCATGTCTTTCTCATTTTCTGACACTGGTTCTCCCCGTCATGGCAAGGAAGATTGTGCTTGTCAAATGAAGGATTAACCACTGTCTGTCAGGGACAAGGGTCCAGCCTGAAGGCAGATCAACCTGTCCATTAGCTCAATGCTTTTATGGCAAGCTAAGTACGAGGCTTGCGCACTAAGCGTAAGAACAACTTTTACAATAGATTCGCTCACTCAATGATTTATGCTTTCGGTTTAAGCCTACTCTAGCTGATAAAAGTTTGGGGCGGATTACATGTGTGCTGTAAGCTGTTTCTTTAAGGCAGAAGAGGTTAACATTGTTAAACAAAACTGATTAGACATTGTTTTTCCATCAGATGACAGCTGGACTAAATGGAATACACTTACCTTTTGCAAAATTGCAGGTGTGGCCCAGCATGATGCTGTCTTTTGCTTTCCTGGTATGTCCTTTTCACTGGTTACGGTAAAAGTATTTGTGATCAGATGTCTTGCAGGAGATTCCTGTCATCAGAAAGGTTACTATTAGCTTGGAGCAACTCTGGAAAAAACTAAAGTTTATCTCTTCTCAATCTGGCTCCTAATTACAATTATCTTTTGGGTCCCCGCTTCCCAGACATGAAATTTTCAAATTAATGTAATGGTTTGGCATTGCTTTATAAAAGGAATGGGGAATGCTTTTCAGCTTGAAGGTCACCATCTCTTCAGGGCAACTTTCTGGAGGCCATATGTCCATATGAAGTTGTATGGAGGTTTCTGTCAGGAGTTCAGCCTACACTCAAGTAGGACCCTGGCAGGGACACATGCCCGACTGACATGTTCCCTCCCTCCTGGTCGATCGTTCGGGAGTTTCATAAGCTTTCTTCAGCCCGAGCATCACAGCGACTGATGCCAACCGACACCGGCACACTTAGGGATCTGCAGAGTTTGCGCACCTTGTGTGACAGACCTCAGCAACTCAGCATTTTGGCTAATCTACTTTATTTACATATAAACACACACAGAGCACTGCAACATGGCTCCCTCTCTCTCTAGCATCAGACAGCAAAGAGAAAAAAAGAACAAAAGACAATAGTCTCACTTCATGGAACACAGTAACACAAACATCCTGTCTCTGTCACTTCCCACTCTGTGGAGTCAAAACATATACAGTCATATGATAGACAACAATCCCATGACTGCAATCATAGAGCAGGAATTCTAACAGCCCCCCCCCCCCGCCCGATTCTTACAGTCAAGAGTACTTCGGGCAAAGTTTCTTAGCCACATTCCATCCCCCATATCTGCCAGCTATGGTTGGAAGCTTTATGTCCTCAAAGTGATTCAGGATTACGGCAACAAAAGTGGTTACCTAGTGATTATTCACAAGTTACAGCTGGCTCTAGAAGAGGAAGGGATTCTGGTGGCTCTGGGGTGTCCCTGAGGCTGTTCAAGGAAGCTGGGCAAAGGCACCAGGTGAGCTTTGCTTTGCCCTTGGCCTTAGTTGTACCTCTTGAAACAGACACTAAATTTTAACAATTCCAAAATAATTATTATTGTTGTTTTATTTATATCCTGTCTTTTTCCCAGATCCAAGCAGCTCACAAAACTCAAAACAAATACAGCTAAAATGCACACCACTAAACAAACTAAATAAATTAGAGGGACATGGGTGGTGCTGTGGGTTAAACCACA